GTCAGAAGCAAACCTGAGGCCAACAGGAGTCAGTCAGTTATGGTAGATTTGAAATTTGGTTTGATGACCTCAAATGAGAAATTGGAAACTGATAGGAGGAACCAAAGAGTACAGTTAAGTTAAAAGTACATCTTATGAAGTTAGGATATTTTTCCTCCAACAACAGGTTCCAGAGGTTTGTTGCTATGGCGGCGCACATAAGTGCAGCGGCTTCTCGAGCTCCTCAGATTAACAGCACCATGCCAGACTCAGCCTTCCAGATCAATGGTCTTCAGTTATTCCGAGCGGACCGCGACCAACGGTCAGGCAAAACACGGGGAGGAGGACTCTGTATGTACGTGAATGAAGGTTGGTCTACTAACTGTGGACTGGTTAAAAGCTGCTGCTCTGAGGCAATAGAACTCATGACAGAGAAATGTCGGCCGTACTATCTGCCTCGGGAGTTTACTGCGGTGTTCGTCACCATTGTTTACATCCCGCCGGGTGCTAACGGCAACGAAGTATTGAAGGAGCTACATGACATCATTAGCTCACTGCAGATGAAGCACCCGGAGGCGTTTTACGTGGTTGCGGGGGACTTTAACCACGTGAAACTGACGGACACTCTGCCCAGTTTTTACCAGCACGTCACCTTTCCCACAAGCGGAGACAACACTCTGGACTGTGTGTACACCAACATTGACGGTGGGTACAGAGCCCTTCCTCGTCCCCATCTTGGCCTCTCCAACCACATCTCAATCGTGCTGGCGCCAGCATATCGTCCGCTGATGAGACGGATCAGACCAACAAAGAAGACAGTCACTGTGTGGCCCAGAGATGCAGCCTTTGTGCTCCAGGACTGTTATCAGTGCACAGATTGGCAGGTCTTCAGAGAGGCAACTACTCATGAGGGAAAGGTGGACCTGGAGGAATACACCTTCTCTGTTCTTGGCTTCATCTCCAAGTGTGCTGATGATGTCACCACCACCAAGACAGTAACCTGTTACCCGAACCAGAAACCCTGGCTTAATGCTGAGGTGAGAGCTCTGCTGAAAGCTCGGGACACTGCGTTCAGGACAGGCGAGGCATCAGCACTCCAAGAAGCAAGGATAGAACTGGCTGCAGGCATTGTGAGGGCCAAAGCCATACGCCCAGAAAATTCAAGGTCACTTCACCACCAACGACCCCCAGCGCATGTGGAAGGGCATAAAGTGCATCACTAACCACAACATCAGGGGTGCACAATGTCCAATGGACCCCTCACTGCCAGATGCACTCAACAGGTTCTACGCCCGCTTCGAGGATCCTAACACCTCCCTCAGCATCAGAGTCAGAGTGGTGACACGCCTCTCTGTGTGACAACAGATGTGAAGAAGTCCCTCCAGGAAATTAACTCCCGAAAGGCTGCAGGCTCCGTCAACATCCCAGGGCGAGTACTGAGGCACTGTGCACATAAGCTGTCCGAGGTGTTGACGGACATTTTCAACACCTCACTGTCACTGTCATCATCTGTACTCACCTGCTTAAAGACCACCACTATCGTCCCCAAGTGCTCCACAGTGATGAGCCTGAATGACTACCAGCCCATAGCCTTAACATCAGTAGTCATGAAGTGCTTCGAGAAGCTAGTTATGAACCACATCAAGGACTCCATCGACGTCACTTTGGACCCCCATCAGTACAGGAAGAACCGCTCCACTGCTGACGCCATTTCATCGGCGATCCACACAGCCCTCTCCCATCTGGAGAGCAGGAACTCATACATACGTCTCCTCTTCCTGGATTTCTCCTCAGCATTCAACGCCATCAACCCACAGACCCTGGTGCAGAAGCTCTCCTCTCTTGGACTGAGTTCTACACTGGGGAACTGAATTTTGGACTTCCTGACAAACAGACCTCAAACTGTCCGGATCGACAACAACGTCTCCTAATCCATCACCCTCAGCACTGGCTCGCCGCAGGCCTGCGTGCTGAGCCTCCTCCTCTTCACTCTGCTGAAGTATAACTGCTCAGCAAGGCATTCCAACTGTCATATAGTGAAGTTTGCCGACGACACAGCAGTAGTGGGACGCATCATGAACAGTGATGAGTCCAAATACAAAGAGGAGGTGGAACACCTGGTGCAGTGGTGCAGAGAAAATTACCTCTGCATCAATGTGAAGAAGACCAAGGAGACGGTGCTGGATTTCAGAAGGAACAAGGATCCTCTTCAGCCCTTGTACATCAGAGGAGCAGCTGTGGAGGTGGTCTCCAGCTACAGGCATCTGGGTGTGCATATATCCAGTGACTTCACCTGGAGTACCAACACTTCCCATCTGGTCAAGAAGGCCCATCAGCGTCTCTACTTCCTCAAGAAGCTGCGGACAGCTGGACTTGGGAGCTCAGTCCTGAGGAGCTTTTATCACTGTGTGGTGGAGAGTGTTCTCTGCACCTGCATCACTGTGTGGCACAGCAGCTGCACTGCTGCTGAGAGGACGGCTCTACAGAGGGTGGTCAAGGCTGCACAGAGGACTGTGGGGAGCAGCCTTCCCTCCACCTCGATGCAGGAGGAGGGCGCTCCTCATCATGAAAGACTCAACCCATCCTGCACACAGGCTGTTCCAGCCGCTCCCCTAAGGCAGGAGGCTGAGGAGCATCCAGAGCAAGACCATCAGGCTGAAGAACAGTTTCTTCCCTTCAGACATCAGACTCCTGAACTCAAGCTGCACCAAATGCAGCTTCACCTCATAGCTTGAGACACATAATAGACACAGACACATAACTACATCACTTAATTTACTTTATGTTAATTTGTTTATTTTATTTCATTATTTATTTATTTATTATTATTTATGTATTTAATTTTTGTGTAGTGGATTTCTTTATCTGGGACCTGAGTACAAATTTCGTACCACAAACTCCCAAGGTGGTATGACAATAAAAAATCCTTGAATCCTTGAATCACCTCAAACCAGATGATGGATTGGATTTTATTTCAATGTAATTTGTGAATGTTAACTCCTCATTTTCAACAGCAGAGCTGTGCAGGTTGAAAAAGCTTGTCATTTTGGAGAAAATCTCATCAACATTTCCACTACATACGAGGTGAAAATAAATAGCATGTTTGATAGAGGAAAAGCTGTAATGAGCCACACCAAAGTTAAACAAACAAAGTTAAACTGAGTCAAATATTGTTGTGGAATATAAGGTGTATACTGAGTTGTATAGATCTTGTATTTGCCCAGCATTAGATTACGGAACGGGAGTCTGAGGTTACTGTCAACAACCTTACAGTGAAAAAGTTCAGTGTTTGTGTTTTTTTTTTTAGATGTGCATAGAAATTCTCCTAAAACGACATTAAATTGCGATACGGGTTGGGAACCATGTGAAGTTAGATATAATGTAGATATGGTCAGACTGTGGAGGAGGTTTGTTAATATGCCAGATCATCAATTAACAAAACGCATTTTTCTTTCACAAATGGGTATACTTGGACCAGACAAATTGAGAAGATATTTGAGGAGGCAGACTTTCAGTACATTTATAGGAATAAATTAAGATATAATATTGAACAGCTAAAACAGTTTTATTTTGAAGTTTCTAAGTGCAAGTGGGCAGTCGATATCTTACATAAACCAAAATTATGTACTTATGTTTTACTGAAGGATGCCTGTATGGTCTTGAGTCATATATATCATGGACCTTGTCTAAAAGATGACGGTCCATGTGCGCCCAGTTCAGACCTGGTACTTTGCCTTTGGCTTTGGAGACTGGATGTTTTCATTCAGTGCCAGAGCATAACCAAAGATGTTCTTTGTATCATTTGGGGGAAATTGCAGTGCACTTTTTGTTTTACTGTCCTTTGTACGTGAGTTTGAGAAATTATTTATTTACTAAAATATTTGATGTTTATCCAGATTTCTTTTATTTAATGGATGAGGATAAAATGTGTTATTTAAGTATTTTGTGTTTCTGTTAGCACAGTTTATTTTGAAGGACTGGCACTTAAGAAAAAGGACATTTTTTGTTTAAAGAATATTTGTGTACATCCGCTTGTTTGTATATGTTTTTATTGTGTCTTGTAAGCCCATATGAGCTGGGCACTTGCAAAAGGGTGTATGACACATATGAAAATAAAGACTATCTATTAATTTATGAATTATTTATTAGAAAAAAATAAATGATTTGAGTAAGAGCAACTTAATGTGTTAAACATAACACATTAAACATACTTAATGAATCAAATTATAAAAACTTAGTAAATTGAGTTGGATAAACTTTGTGAATTGAGTTGGTCAGACGTAGGATACAAAACTGGCATTGAACTCAACTGTTTCAGGTAAAGTCAAAGTAAAATGTTCTCTTAAGTTAAAGATTTGTAACTTTTAAGATAACTGAACACAAAAAAGTAAGTTGTCATCACTAAATCAAAGGATTAAGTGAGATTAATGTAAACAAGTCCATAAGATGAACTATAGCCCAAAAACACTTTTTAGAGTGAGGTTTATCAACACTATCGTTGGGTGAAAACAGCAGCAGAAAGTGATGCAGGAGGAGCAGTGGTAGTCTGGTCACCTTGCAGTCCTCTTCAGGTGTTTCCTAAGCTGTTGGTTCTCCTTCACCTGCTCCCGTTCAGTGTTCATGACCAGGCGGCGGTGTTTCAGGAACTGAGACTGATGCTGCAGAGAAAGACAAAGAGTCAGCTGTGAAATTTTAGCTAAACAGGAGAAAAACAAGCAAAATCTGATCTTCATCTACCTGCTTTTTCACCTTTTCTTCATCCGTCGTTGGCCAGAGAAACTTTGGGACTTCTAGGCTCGTATTAGAACCGTGATCAATGAATGAATTATTCGGATTCAACAGGGTGTGTCCGCTCACCTTAAACATACGAAAGCCTTATTAGGGATCCAACAACCTGCAAAAGTATTCACATCCACATTTTGTCATTTTACAGCAATCTTGAATGTACTTTATTAAGATTATTGTGGAACATAAAAATTGCATAAAAAGTAAATATTTTATGCAAATCTAAAACATGGGGCATGAATTTCAGTTTTACAGTTGTAATTATGCTCTGCTGAGGTTTGGCAGTCAAAATTTGAACTAGGGTAAGCTAAAACTGCCACTCGAGAAGTTCTGGGGAGGATGTGTACAGAAAATGCTAAATGTTTATATTTTTATTGTTTTGGCTTATTTGCTGCTCAAACTGTGTTGTTCTTTCAGCAAATGTCTTTTTTTCAGTCTGCATACTCCAGTTTACAACTAATCGCGTACTATATACTTTTATTTACATATTGTACTTATTATCCATTATTGTTATTCATTATTACAATTATTATATGTATTATTTACATATTTTATTGTATATATTAATATTGATCCTTTTATTATTATTTATTTATTGTTACTGGAGCCTTGCAACAAAATTTCTTTAAAAATGTACATTTTTAAACGTACAATTGAATGACAATAAAATCTTCCTATGTCTCTGTGTATGTCTAAATTAGTTGACAGTTATTTCAATAATCAGTTCATCATGATTAATCATTTTAGCCCTACTATTAACTGCCCTCCGCATCTTGCAAAATGATTCAAACATGCTGTGGTTTTTTCAATGTTGCCACATTATAACAACAACCTTCACTGTTAATATATTAGCATTTTATGTCATAAGGAAGCACCATTGTAGAGTGGAATTAAAAGGATAAATGTTTTTGGGTTTTTTTGGAAATTAAAAAGTGAAATACTGTTTGTATTTCACTCATCTTACTGCAATATTCCTAAATAAAATCCAACCATTTGGAGCCGCCTAACTGGTGAATAGGTGGCTATCATGTGAATAGCATGCAGTTTAATCTCTATAAATACAGCAGGTGTGTGTAGGTTTGTATTCTTAAACACACATCATGTTGACAAAAAACGTAGCAGAGAGGTGTAAAACTGAATTAGATTATAAAACTGTATTCCGAGCTTTGAACATCTACAGAAAGCTCTTCAATCCATCATCTGAGAATCAAAACAGCATAGCACAACCGCTATAAGAAGCAAATTGGAAAAAGTTTCAGTCTCTGTGTCAAGGCTCAATACATGCCACAATGTTTAGATTATTTCTTTTATTTGTAAAACTGGGCACCGATTCCTTCCACTTCACATTACATATTGCTTTGTGTTGCTCTATTACTTAAGGTCCAGTTATAATACACTGAAGTTGTGGTTATAATGTGAGAAAATAGGAAAAGGTTTGAGATGTAAGAATACTTTTAAAATTGAAGTTCATGTTTATTGTGCAACACTCACAGATATTAGACAAATTAATAAAAGTAAAAAAATGTAACACAACATGTTTGATTTCACTGCTGCATGTTGAGAAATTCAGTTACCTTCTGCTGAACAAGTGGACATTCATGTTGACTACTAAAGAGAGGAACATCTCTTGTTTCCTGTTCCTCCTCTGTTCTCCGCACACAAGCATTAGCAGTCTGCTGGGTGGAGAGACAAAGGTTTTCAGTTATTCCTTCAACTTCCAGGAAAAAAACAAACAACATGACCACAGGAAGAGTGCTAAAAAAGCAGAACAAAGGTTTAGACACAGACACTCACATGTCTGGTTGGAGAGATGCTCCATCTGCCTCCTGGAAGATCTGACAGCACTTCCTCCCCTTGGGTCAGCCGACAGGCAGCCAGTCTGAGTCTGACCTGCCTCAGGGGCTTACTCAACTGGAAAACAGTGGAAATAAATAATATTCCACATTAATCATGGTCACATTACCTGATAAGTCACACAAAGGGAAATAGTTTGATCCTTCTGGAGGTCAAAAACACAACAAAAATGCTAACAAAGAAAAAAAAGTAATTGTAAACTTGACTGAGATTAAAACATGAACTATTTACCATCAGAAAGAAATTTATGGTAACACTTTATTTGAAGGGGGTTGAATAAGACTGTCATGACACTTTAATAAACATGACATAACACCTGTCATGAACATGAATTAGCCTTCATGAATATTTATGACTGTTGTCATAAAGCGTCATTCGGTAAATTATGACACTTTTAATACAAAGTTGACATTATTCTAAATGTCTTCGTTATGACAACTTCACATTAACCAGGAAATCATTACTGTTTAAACTTTACCTTTAATAACATAAAGTTACCTAGTTTTTAAAGTGCAATCAGTAATACTTTTATAACAAATTTATATCAGTAATGATTTCTTGGTTAATGTCAAGTTGTCATAACAAAGACATTTTGAATAATGTCAACTTTGTATTAAAAGTGTCATAATTTACCGAATGACACTTTATGACAACAGTCATAAATATTCATGAAGGCTTGTTCATGTTCATGACAGGTGTTATGTCATGTTTATGACAGTGTTATGACAGTCTTATTCAACCCCCTTCAAATAAAGTGTTACCAAATTTATTAGTGCTCCCTGGTGGGTAAACTTCCACATTACAGTTTGCACCCATAAATAACTCATAATGTTTATGCAGAATCTGCAGCAACTGTTTAATACTAGATTTTGAGCCTTTTGTTTTCAAACCCGAAACCAAACTGGGGAGAAAATAGCTTCATCAGCCCAGGTTTGGGCAAAGAATAATCAAATTAACTTATCAATAAACTTTTATTTTAGCTTAAGAATGAAATATTTCATTCAGAAGAAATTCTTAAAAAATCATTTACATATTTTATTATCATTTTACTATGCAACAGTGATTTCAGTGATGTTTTCAGTTTAATTTATAATGTGTGGTGCAATAAATAAAAATAATAGTGTCTCCAATATCAGCAAGAAATCCATCAGAGCTTTCTGCTTCTCTTATGCTGAGGAACCTTCACCTCACCTCTGGAGAACTGCTCTGTTGTGCAGCAGGTTCTGAGTGGATATGCTCCTCTTCCTTGCATACCTGCTGGGTCAGGATCTGATAATGTGGAAGTCCTCTGTGGGGTATTACCTAGACAAAGACACACACGTCTACCATGAGAAGATCAGTCAAGACAGAAAGCTAAACCACATCATGATCTTTTCAGGAAATTTGATGTCTTGTATGCCATGGTGCAGCTTGCAAACCACACAGAGTTTTTAAGAATCTGGTATTATTATGAAGATACCAGTGTAAAACATAATGATGAGCTAACTAGTCAGCTACATCTTCTCATAAGAAAATGTCACTTTTTTTAGTTAGAAGACTGTTACTAAAAACCTAATTTGTTCTCTCTTTTTTTGTTTCAGATATGAAAAAATAGCTGTGAAAATAACAGCAAGTTGTGGCTAGGTTGGTGCTGGCATTTTGCAACGTTTGTACCTGACAAGAGGAGATGTAAAGAGTGTAGTTGGCCTAAGTGCAATTAAAAGTGATTTTTGTTTTCTGAATGTCATAAGGGTATCAGGAAACTTTACCGGGAACCAGAATTGTTTTTCTGGGACCCATTTTTTACATGCATCTGCCAGGGAACGATCAGATTATCTAGGACAAAACTAACCACAGAAAAAAAATCCCTGGAAACGGGGTCAAATTTTTGTTTATAGCCTGAACCTACAGGGAAGGTGGAAAACATTTCAGATTGGGTGAATTTTCTGAGCCTTGTGTTTCACTTAATACTCTTCTGAAGTGATATTTGGTGTGTAATATAACAGACATTTCATAAATATACCAGATTTTGAATAACTTCTGTCTTTAGGTGAGAGTGAAGTCAAAGAGAGAATATCCTCATGTCATAATATTTTGTGTTAAAATGATTTACAGAATTTGAACAATCTGTCCTCATTTATAGAGCACCATCATACATAATGAAAGAATGAAAGATGAAAACGTTGAAAAACGAAGACAAAATAAAAGAGGAAATAAGCTAAACAAGATAAAGCCTGGAAAAGAAAAAAAAAAACAAAACTGAAATACAGTATGTCGTTAGCAAACAAGGTGCTGCTTTGAAGGGCTGAGGAAACATTGTTCAATATAAAGGGCTGTAATGCCAATAAGAGGTGCAATACTTTCTGCTTTCTTCTCGTTCTCGTCTGAGCTTTTTACACTCTGTGACCTTCAACACTTTGAACAAATCAGCCCTTTGGTCTTGTCTGTTTTTTTCTAGGACTTCACAGTCAAGTGGGTATACTTCACCAAGGGATGTGAATGAGGTTGTTGTCGTCGCTTGCACACGTGAGCTTGATGTGTGACTCGTCGTCGCACTTCATCTTGAAACCGCTTCAGGTTGTCTTCATCCTCCCTTCTCTTTTGTGCCTGTAGCTCCTCCGTTAGCAAAGCAAGGTTCTAAGAAAACACAGAGCTCTGAAAACAACAAGATTATCAACCCTAAAATCAGATTACCAAATGTAATCTGTAACAACAAAGCTAAAATGTTTTAGAATAAGACTATAAAAAATATCTCAACTTGGACCTCTAAACCAAACTGATTAGCTTCCATTCTTATGTAGTGAATTGTTGAATTAGTACAGTTGAACTATTTTATAGTAGAATCATTGTAGCAAAAAGAACCACGAATAGCCATTTTCTGTGTTTGTCTCTCACATTATTTTGGAGGAATTTTGAGTAGCTTTTCTTAACTTAAATTATGCTACCAGAACTGTTTTAGAGCAAACCGGCTTTCTCCTGGAAGCCACTCCAAACAAGCCTTTTTTTCTTTTTTTTAAATTTTAATTTAATACTTTTTGATTGGAGCTCTTAGGTTGTTTTGTGGGAAAATCCGAGGCTGTCAAATGTTTTCATATGGTGAATAACAATCAATTCACTAAAAATTGTTTGGAAACCATCTTATAACCATTTACAGCTTGATAAATAACACCAATTACTTATATATTAAAAAGCCTTTGATCAATTAGTCAAATGTTTTTCATGTAGGGCCTCCTTGCTTTTTAACTCCTAAATCCAATCCAGCAATTTTTTCCCCAAATTGGATTAAACTACACATCAACTATCTAGCAAATTATAACAAGAATGTACGATATATCGGCCGAATTAGTCATTTTTAACACATGGGTCCGATAAATAAAACTGAGGCGATGTAAACAACCAATATTCATTTTTACAATGTGATCCTCTGATAATGGCGGGGGATTTCACCCAAAGGAGTCTCGATGGTAGAGAAAAATATATAAAATCTGTAAATATATCAGTAAAAAAATTTAATGTTGTATCACCATTTTGAAAATGTTGAATATTGGCGCGTCCCTAAACAAGTAAAATATATCCAGCAAAATTAACCCATAGACAAAAGCCAAACAATAAAGCTGATATTTTAAATTTTATAATAATTTATAAAGTTGTCAAACTTGACGTTTGGGCTAAATTAATAAATTCCTAATGGTCTGGATAAAACCTGTAGGAAAAGTAAGGGCTCTATCAAAACAAACGGGACACTTGGCACTACCGGTCATCGCCTTGGTAACGGCTAAATTAAAGCTAGCTAGTCGCGGCAGATTTTAAAGCCAAACTTACAGCTGGGTGCTCCAGGAAATCCTGTCCGACTTCCACCCAGGCTCCAACCGCCACCACCGCCTGGTTCCTTTCGGCCAACACTTTACTGGGTCTCGAGTGTCCATGCTGGCTGCTCCTGCTCCCCGGAGATTTAAACCTGCGGTCTATCGGAACTTTGAAACGGTCAGTACTCATTAGTAACCGAAAACACTACTGCTTATGTTGATTCCGATTGAATTCAGAAGATTAATTCAACGAGAAACTACTTCGGTGGCTAAGTTGACACAAAAAAGAGTGCTATTAAGCTTTTAAACTAATGAAAACGATAAAAGACCTGATGTGAGGACAAAAGAAAAATATCTCATCAGAGGTTTGAATTTTGCTCATTTCTTCTCGTTTTAGTGCGGAGTTTAGAAAACACCTCACTGCTGCCTCCATGTGGACAGGAGGAGACAGTGAACGTAGAGGATTTCTAAAACAACTCCCTGTAGAAAATTTAGAAAATAACAGTAGTACAAAGATTTAATCAAATAAATTGTTTTGTATTTTAAACGTGCTTTTTAATGAGTGCATTTCTAGAATACTGAAGCATCTTCTGTTCAACAATGTGATTAAAGTTAAACTTCCTAATTTTAACAGCAAAATTATTGACTCAAATATAGAGGAGTGAGTCTAAGCAATAATTTCAACAATAGCATAAAAGACTCTTAGATATTAAGAAGCTTTAAAAATATTAAGTATAGATCCAAGTGTGGAGAAGAAGTTTTGGACAGAATAAAGAAGCTTCTTATCTGTAGCTATTTTGTTTGTGTTTTTTTTTTTTTTATGTTGAAACAGGTCTATTTTAACCATTTTTATTTTAAATAAAATGCGTGGACATGAATTGGCATTTTTAAATTGACGCTACACCCTGCACCATTTTTTGTACTGTGCCTTTAATTTAATGTTTATCTGTTTGATATCAAATTTATCCTAATTTTATTTCAAGCCCAAAGTAAAATGAATATATTCTTTAAGTCTGGGTGTATTGCCAAGAGGCTGTCATCAGAAGTTCAGATATACATTTAATATGCATTTATTTTTTTTTATTTTGAATTTTTATTTCTAATTTATATTTGTAGTTAAACAATATAATTGTTTACTATTAATTTTATGTTAATTTTTAGCTTTTAACCTTACATGAATTCATACATTTTACAGTTGTTATTCTTCACTATCTCAAAAAGAAGTCAAAGTAAAGATAACGGAGAAGATCACACCAGAAGAGATTTTCTATTGGATTCAAAAATCAAACTCATCCAGCAAGTGGTGCTACACATTAAGCAAACTGATAGAGAAATATGATCTTGTGGGATTAGTTTTGACAAATCTGGACTGATTTTTTTTTTTTTCACAATCCATTTGAGGAAAAAAAAATCCAATATCCTAATCTCATTTTGTAAGAAAGCAAAAACATAAAAACTAAACGTGGAAATTTTTGCAAGGGTATTCACATAATTTTGTTTTAATTAAATGAAACAATTAAAAAAAAAAAACAGCACAAACTGAACCCAAGATCTATGGAAGTGTGATGAAATCAATAAAATACAAAAGCAGAACAATTCTGTTGAAGGAATAACTTTATTTTAAAAAGACAGTATTTCATTACATTTCATTAAACTTAATCCCAGAATTCATTCCATCAAATATAAAGGTTACTCTGAATCTCAGAGCTTCTGACAAAATTGCGGAGGACATCTGTGCTTCGGGATGAGTCCACCTGAGGAGAGAATTTCAGAAAATAATAATAAAAAACAGATTTAATTTTTTTTCCAAGAAATTCTTCATCCCAGTAAAAAGTCTCATTCAGACTAAAATCACCTTTCAACAAACCACTTGAACCAGGATAAAATAAATTCTTCTTGTAATAAGAATTCCCTGACAATGCCAACTAAATTCTTGGAAATTTAGTATTATATTCAAATTTAGAGTCTGTTCGTTGCTCCTTTTCAGAATTTTTCAGATAATTTGTATATCAGTCTTACAAGACAAGTACAAAAAATACCTTGTAGGGTTTTATCATCTTGATGTTGAGCAAATCATTAAGTAACTCCATGCTGTCTTCAAAAGATTTTTGACTATTTCATGACTTTTTTGGGCATTTGGACCAACTAAGTCAGCTCCGATTCTAAATCTTTTCCACTCTGACTTTTAAAATCTGGTCTGGATTACTCTACATTAAATATAGACTCTACAAACTGTCAGATCTTTATTTTATTTGAGATAATGCCCCGATAGTTTGAGGGCCAACAAAGCTTAAAAACCACAGACAGTCATGGATATTTTCTAACTTCGACTCATCATTTTGCTGAGTGAACATAAATGTCAACTTTCGACATGAAGAGTGACATTAATTTCTTTAAAACATATTTTGTGAAGAACTTTTATCACCCTCAATCAATTTCAATGAAAAATGTTTTTTTTTAAAAAACAAGACAGTATTATCAGAAATGTATTTTTTTTTAATTATTTTTTATCACTATTTTTTCCACAAGAGGATCAATACATATCAGTAAATTTGAAGATATAATTGAATACAGTTATTGTATTACAAGTTACAGTTTTACAAGAGCAGTATTTGTGTGTGGTGCCATACAGTTACCTACATAAGATGCAATAAATAATTTATCATCAGTTTTATTGTTATCACAATAGTAACACAAAATATGATACAATTCTAAGTCCATGTCGCCCAGCTCTATTGAGAAACATAAAAAAAAAACTACAAACATGTCAAAAATTAGCCTGATATATCATTAGTAAGTAAAAAGAAAAGAAAATAACTGTTGCCTAAAAGACTGCTTTTTTAAATACAGTTAGATTTATTTTGCAGCACAGTGGTCCAGTTGTGAGCACTGTTGCATGCAGACTCTGCACTGGGAGAGCCCGCATGCTCTCCCAATGCATTTGCATGTTCTCTCATGGTTAGGTTAATTGGTTAGGTGTGAGATTATTTTTCCTGTGTGACTCTGTGATGAACTGTCCAGGGTAAACCCTACCTCTTGCCCAATGACCGCAGAAGATAGCAACTCTGTAAGGATAAGCGAGTGCAGAAGATGGATGGATATTTGGCAGCACTTTCTGTTAGTCAAATTTAATGCTTTGACTTTGCTTTCCCCTTCAAGGGAATTGTAAAACACAATTTCTCATGAAAAAAAAAGCTGAGAGGATTTCAACTTGGAAAGTGGAGACTCTGCAACTGGTAAGAAAAAGAAAGGCAAATGCTTTTGGCATGAGCTGCTCCTGTAATTATAAAACCTAATCCCATCAGCTGTCAGAAGTTTGCAGCAACAGCCTCAGCTGGAACGCAGCCAGATCGCCGTGATGCTGGACATGAGGATACATCCACCTTCACTGACCTTTATTATAAACAGAACAGCGGCTCACCTGTATGGACCTGCCAAGCTTGGTTAGCACCGGCTTGTACTTGTCCATGGTGATGGAGTCAGGACCGGTGACATCACTGTAACACTGGTAGACAACAGCAGCGATGCTGTGGACCTGGCAGTGGTTCAGGACTGATGAAACATCACAGAAAAGAACAAAACAGGGTTAACTGATGGATAAAAGATGACACTGATGAAGAGGAAACCCATCAGCGATGAAGACTTGGTTCCTTATGCCAATGAAAGATCTTTTTGTTAGGATTAAATGTGCTTCGGTGTACTGGCGACATAATGCCCACATCAGGATGCAGGGCTGTGTGTGCCCAGTGAGTGGAGAGAAGCCTAATTGCACCACATTTCATTCAGCTGGCAGAATCATTTGTCCAAAGTGACTTTTTTTCCCTCTACATACACACACCAAGAGCTGTGTAGGGCTTATTGTCTTGCTCAAGGATGCCTCAGCAGGCAGGAATGAGAATCAGACCTCTCAAAAGTGTGAAAGTGCAGTCAAAACTGAAGTATTCCAGGTGTAGAGGAATCAGAAACACCTGATGCATTCTATTCAGAGACTTTGAATCTTTTCTACCACTCTGTGAGCTTTAGTATCTCAGCCCCTAAAATATCTATACATTTACATCCCATGTGGGCATTAATTAATAGTAGTTAGTTAATCCAACTGGCCAAATATCCATATGCAGAGTGTGCATTCCTGAAAAATATAAAATCCTACAGAGCATCAGAGTCATCTGAAATGTATCTTCACATTTAATTTAGTCATTATTAGCATTTTAGCAATTAAACCCTTCTAAAAAGAATGACTTTTAGGAAGTAACCCTCACAAATTACTGACCAGGATTTGCACGTTTTCACTGGTATTTTGAGGATTTATATTTGGTGATGAGTTCCAATTCTTTAAGGTTGGAAGGCCTCCCTGTCATCACACTAATCTTTAGTTCTTTCCACACATTCTCGGTTTCAATCAATCCAAACTGTTATTAAAATTTACAAAAAATATTTAAAATTTAATTTTGAACCCAACTGATGCAGGTTGGTAGTGTAACTATTTCTTCTAGCAGAAGCTGCACAGGGAACATTTTTTGTGGTCGTTGGATATATTAAATATGGACAAACCTAATTCTTTCTCGATCTAAGAAAACTAAATGAATTAATTGCAATAAACAATAATAGCTGGAATTCAGACTACCATGTTTAGAAAGGCTTAAATCTATTTTGGCAGTAGCATAATAACACAATGAAAAATGTAGAAAACAAAATTAAATTTTTATTCATTTGAGAAATTGAGGTAATTGTTTTTTTTTATTCAATTAAAATTCCTATAAAACAAATTTAATGCAAGTATTTTTTTAAGTTTTATTTATTATTTTTTTTCACAAAAAAAAGGATTCATTTTTCTTTCTAGGAAATCACTTATGTCAAATATGACCCAGAATATTAAAGAATATTTTTTTAAAAACAACAAAAAACAGCATTTTCTCTCCACATAAGTCCTAAAAGGAATCAGGACATCATGCACACCAAACAAGGCTTAGTGGAGAGGGCAGAGAGGGACATGGAATTGAGGCCTAGAGGCTCTCATATATCCTAATGTAATGGTTACAGTGCATGTAAGACACGTAACCATTTAGATTTCTCAGAAAATCTAGCGAAAAACAACAGATTTACAATCAAATTAAAACGGAGAATTAACTGAACAGATGGACCCACAGAATGCTAATCCCTGCTTGATGCACAGACAACGTTAAGCAACTCGATTAATGACTAAGACATACTTGTTTTCCATCTCTCCATGTAAGAACTGAATAAGAAACAGCCAGAATAAAGAAATAGAGGAGGAAATACCTGCAGAGATCCTAGAGCGATACACTGTGAGCCAATCAATATGATGCAAAGCAATTTAAATACTTATTCTGCCATTTTACTAACAACAAATATAGATTAAGACGTTAAAATAATGAGCCTACGGTTCTAAGTATTAACTATACTAATTGGACACTGAATGTTGAAACTGTCTCATACACACATTTATTGATATCAGTGATCAGTTATGAAATGAATTACCAAGAGTTATAATTACTCATAACACGAGGCCCTGCATGAGGTTTACTTTGGAACCATTTTAAAGGTTGTTATAATATGGGCTGCCAACTTATCGTGGTGGTGGGGTTTGAGTGTCCCAATGATCCTAGGAGCTAGGCTGTTAGGAGCTTCATGATAGAGTCACCAAAGGCAGACAGCTGCCAGTTGAGGAACAGACAAAGTGCAGCCCAAAGGACTCTCTGATGAATACAACCATTGGAAACAGTGTTCCCTCGCCTGGACACGAATCACTGGGGCCCCACTCTGGAGCCAGGCCTGGAGGTGGGGCATGTTTGCGAGTGCCTGGTGGCCAGGCTTCAACCCAAAGTTGAGACATGAGTTCCCCTCCCATGGGTTCACCAACTGCAGGAGGGGCCAAAGGGGTCAGGTGCAGTGGGGGAAATGTGGTAGCTGAGGGCAGGAACCTTGACGATCTGATCCTCCATTACAGAAACTGGCTCTTAGGACGTGGAATGTTACCTCTCTTGAGAGGTTTATGGCTAAAAATAGTCAGTGTCGCCTCAATGCATAGCTCGGGTTCTGGAACCGGTCTTCACGAAAGTGGTTGGATACTCCTCTACTCTGA